TTTTTCTCTTCCTATGCGTCATACCGGAGACATTTTTTTTCCTTCATCGCTGGTGTCTGCCGCCACCCCTCTCCAACTCCATGTTAAGTGAGAAGCTTTGCAACTTCAGAAAAAGAATTGGAAATAAAATACCTATTATTTTTCTGCAACTCCATCCAAAGCGACGGTGCCACAAGGTGGGTTCTTATGCGAATTGCTTATGCGAAATGGGTTTATCCATAATTCCTTTTTCTGCACCATGGTTTCGAATTGCTTGTGCGAAATGGGTTTATCCATTTTTATGTAATATACAAAATAAGGATCAGATTCATGGCTTCATCCTATATCATTGTTTTTTGTGAGACTATGAATTAATAGAACTTAACAATTATAAATATATATCGATATATTTCATTTATGAATCACAAGAAAGGATCGTCCAATTTATCCAAAAAAAAAGGATCGTCCAAATTCAGATTTGAGGTTCCAAACCATTCTTAGTCATTCATACCCCCAATCTAATTTATTGTGTTGCCTTTTGATTTTGGATCTGTCAATTACAAGTGTATCAAGAAGGATGATTGCAATTTTCAAAAAAAGAAGAAGAAGAAGAAGAAGGATGGTTGCTGCAGCCGAGGAAGAGAGAAAAGGGTGAGTGGTAGTGGGAGAGAGGAAGGGATAAAAGGGTTGATTTTATACCGTAAATCTCTATCATTGGATGAAATTATAATCTAACGGTAATGAAAGGGGTAGGCAAAGGTATGCAAAATGGGAATAGGTAGAATAACCTATCCCATATTTAATATGTATATTTTGGGATAAGATATTCTACCTACCTCTTTTTTTTGCCTACCTTTGCCTACCATACTAAAACACCATCAGATTAGAATCTTAACTAATATTTATATTTCTCTTTCTTCTTGAGATTCTGATCTAATGGTGTTGGAGAGTGGTAGGTAAAAGTAGACAAAAAAATGATAGGTAGAATATCCTATCCCGTATATTTTTATGCAAAATTAAGAATAATAGTTCTCAAAAGAAGGGTGTTTTATGTTAGTTATATTTATAAGTGAATGATCAATTAATAGTAAGAGATAGAATTAGAAACATTAGGTCTGTTTGGTTTCTATTCTCAAAACGACGTCGTTTTGGTATTGAAATTTTAAAAAATTATAAATATAAAGACTATTATAATTTTGAAATAAATTAAAATTACAAAAATACCATGATTTCAGCCCCAATACGACGTCGTATTGGACGTACTGCAGATAACTTATCTGCAGTAACTGCAGAAAAAGCGAACCCCTATATATATATATATATATATATATATAGGGGCAGGATCATCTTACACCGGTGTAAGAATAACAAGTCTTACACCAAATCTTAACCATTGATTTTCTGCATCTAACGGTTAAAATTTATTAGGTCTCACTCATTAATTAATTTTTAATTCCCAATAAATATCAACCGTTAGATGCACGGAAATCAACGGTTGAGATTTGGTGTAAGAATTATTATTCTTACACCGGTGTAAGTTGATCCTATCTCATATATATATATAGAAATCGACAATCACACAAATTACAAACGAAAAGAGAATGAGAGAGAATAGACATGATGATTTATCCTAGTTCACTTAATTTAGACTACGTCCAGCTGGTATGTACTATATTCACGTCACCGCCATTTGTTACAAGTCACTCAGTTTATAATGAGAATATAAATAGAATTAAAAAAATTCTAAAAGCAACTATTTATGGGCCAAAGCCCAAACTACTAAGTAAAGGAAAAATTACAATAAATTAGAGACTCATAACAGTACCTAACCCAATTGCCTTTCTCCTCCAAAATTAATTGTAAATAAATATCTTTTCTTAGAAAAAAAAAGTGAGCAAAGATTCGAGCGAATGTCAAGTAAGCACGCTAATCTGCAGCTATAACAAATCTCAATTGCAAAAGGTACGAGACATAGGGTCTAGCCCAATCTCAAGTAAGCAATACTCAGCAACTAACTAGAACTAGAAGCATCAAGCGATGACACCCAGCAAAAAAAACAACTAGACCAACAGCAACAACAGGTGAGACCAACAGATACAACGTGTATGTAAGGAAGGAAGAAACTCAAGAAAGGGAGAAAGGGTTTGACAGGAGGTACTAATCGCGTGTAAGGAAGGGTTTTTGATTTTTTTAAGTTTTGCGAACTAAACGACGGTTTTTTTTTATATATATATATATATTATTTTTTTAAAGGGTAATATTTTCCTCCTTTTATATGACATAAACAATTTTCCTACACAAATATAAAAGTGGGCCCATCAATTCTTTTACTTTTTATTTTATTTTAAAAATAGTGGACCTCACAATTGATTGTTTCTATGACATGACCTAAGAATTTTGCTACAACATAATACTTGTTTTTTCCTTTTTTTTATGACATTGATTTTTAAGAATTTTCCTAAGAATTTTGTTTCTATGACATTGATTTTTATTTTTTTTGAACGGACTGAGTCATCAGTTTCTATATAAATTAACTAACATTTCAAAAAATCTAAAGTGTTATATCTGATACTTCTCGACAGTTCTTAACACTCTGACATTTATAATATTTGAAGTTTTATTTATGAGTTTTATAAGAATTATGTTGTAGGAAAAGTGATTGTGTAATGTTATAGAAATTCGTTTTGCGTGCCGTAGTTTTTTTTCTTGCTTCAAAAAGTGCAGGCCCCACAAAATATTGTGTGTGTGGAAAAAATTTTTGTATCATGTGACATGATAGATACAAACACCTTATTTATATCATGAAAAAGTTGATTGATATTTTACCAAACTAATATAATAAAATTTAAAAATAAATATAGAATAAATCTCACTAAAGTGTATAAGAGATTTTTAATTTGAAAAGATAATAATAAATATTTACACCTTATATTTCTTTATAAAATTGATGAATATTATATGTTTAGTTTTATTTTTTTGTTAATTATTAAATATTAAATATAATATATACTACATATAAAAATATTATTTAATATTAAAATATGTCTTGACATATTGAAATCAAATATTTTTTTTAAAATTAACATATCAAAATATCATATCTTGCGTCTCGTATCAGTATGGATTGACACAAATTTATTGGTCTAAATGACTTCATTGTTTATGCTTTCCGGTGCACCAACCCAATAGGAAATTATAATTTTCTATTGTATCACGCGATACGCAGGGATAAGCACCGACATAAATAAAGAAGAAAAAAGTGTACTATTTGACCTTCTTTTGTTCTTTATTCCTTTTCCTTGCCCTCTACAAATAGTTTATCAAATTAAAATATGGATTAATATTTGTTATAAGAAGTAATTTTATATTCTATATTTATATAAAAGTTTACGGGTCATATGGAGGCATGTGAGAAAAAGAGAAAGAAAAAAAAAATATGAATCCCACATTTATATTTATGTATAAGAAATAAAATTTATTTTTCTAATATGAAAAATATTATTTTAACTAAAATATTAATTAGAAGTGCGCCTTTCTTAGCCCGACAAAAAGACCTCAAATTAAGAAATAATTTTAAAAATATTTTTGTATGATAAATTATTTGTGAAGATGCACTAAAATTGTAAAATTTATTTGACTTCTTAAACAAGGGAATACTATTTGTGTTTTAAAAGGATGTAAGTTGTATCTTTTTAATTTTTTTATTTTATGTACTCCCAATAGTACATAGTTATAATATGAAAAGTTTTTTTTTTTTCTCTTCTCAGTCATATCAGCTGACTTGGAAAGTGAAAAAAAGAAATTTTTCAATAACTATGTACTACCAGGAGTACATAGAGTAAAAAGCTAAAAAGATACAACTTATATCCTTTAAAAGAACACACGCTAAACCCATTAAACAATTGTCCATATATAATACTAAGTCATTATTTCCTACCATCTACCTATTGTATGAATTTTTTAAGAATAATGTTACTGATACTCTACCAATTCGAGATATGCATGTTGCCATATTAAAGCGGCATAATTAACAAAGCATAGGAAAGTCATGCTACTAGTATAAGAGAGACACTCAAAACTTGGTCATCTTTTTCCAACTTAGTTAAACTCATCATTCAAATACTGATTTGAATGTTGAAGTGTATTATAAGTACCCACCCATCTGTACTAAATAAAATACACCTCAACAACATTAAAATCATCATCCCACTCATACACGTCACAACAACACTTGCAGTCACTAATTTAGAATAAATTCGATTGTGTGTGATTAGAGCCAATTTCTTTTGTACTGGTAAAAACATTTGATAATATTTAGTATTTCAAGGTTTATAAAGAGAATATGAAATTATTGAGTTTGGAATCTCATCACAGTGATAAAGGTTTTGTCTGCATAATGATGGAATGATTCTTTTCAGGAAGAAAGGAAATTCTGAAATTCCCTTATGATAATATTTATTAAGAAAGGAACCATCTATCCCCCCCCCCCCCGCCCCGGGTTGTGACATAAAATGCGTAGTGGATTAGTTCAACTGATATTCTCCCACGTCATGTTCTATGACTTTATTAGTGTCTTAATTCTATAACTTTTTTAACTTAGCCGTATCAAGGGAAATCGTTGTCGTTATTTTATTTCATGCAGTTCATGCTTTTGCCAAATTAAAATTATACTGCTTCCCCCTCCCCCACCAAAAAAAGATTAAAAAATCTGAAATCATGCATTTCGTAACGAAAGTAATAAGAGAGAGATGCATTTCGTAACGAAAGTAATAAGAGAGAGAGAGAGAGAGAGAGTGTTGAAAAGAAAAGTGAATAGAGCTAGAAAACTTTTACAAAGAATGAAAAACAAAAGAAAAAGTTTATGTCTCGTTACATTTGGAAAAGCAAAAGCAAAAGCTGTGTGTAGCACTTCCGAGACCAATTGAGGATAGAATAGATTAGTCTCAAAAAGGAGAGGAAGCCCCATATATGTATATGTTACCTATGCATCCAAAGCATTTCCCTAAGACCACTTGAAAAGAATGGGAAGCTTCATTTTTAACCTTCACCTTATCGTTTCATCATTTTTCCTTTTCATTTTCTTGCTCGAAGCTGTTCATGGAAGCAAAAAGGCAGGGTCGTTTTGCTTATTGCTTATTTATTTTTCAGTTTCTACTTTGAAATTGTGATGATGATTTATTTGTGCTGCTGAAGTAGTTTTGTTTGTGATCATGGGTCACATTTCACCAATCATTGGTTCTTTTATCATTGTTTGCAGTGTTACATTGTATACATGGGAGCGCATTCTCATGGTCCCAGTCCTATGTCTGCTGACCTTGAACTCGCTACCTATTCTCATTATGATTTACTAGGTTCGATCTTGGGAAGGTATAAAACCATGGATTTAGTTTTAATTGGTCGTTAATATAAATTTTACTTTGAATTATTATCTAATCATATATTATTAAGGGATTAATATTTCGTTGGTAGCAAGAGAGTTGAGTAAGTGAAAAAAAAGGGTCTCAGTTCTATTCTCATATGCCACCTTTAAGAGGGGTTTAAATATTTTTATCTTTGACCTACCCCGTACTTTGGATTAGTCCCGTAGCAGGCTCAAAGTGTCAAAATTTGTGGGGGACCGGAGAGCCAACTCGCCTAAAGAAGATAATTAGGGTTAGGTTAACTCAATATATATATATATATATATACATATATATTTTCTTGTACAAATGTGAGTGGGTGAGACCCTATTAGGAGAATAGAGAGACAAAAAAAGGATCTATCCATTTTCATACGTGTACAAGAGATAAAATTATTTCTTACAAAAAAAAATATTAAACCCCATTTTGAATTACCAATTGTTTTTTTACTATTATAACCATAAGTTAAGGAATATAACTTAGTTTATGATATTTCCACAAGATATATATTAGATAATAGTATAAAAATATAGATGAAAATGATGGATTAATTGTATAAATATTGTTTCACAGCCCCGAGAAAGCGAAAGAAGCAATTATTTACTCATATAACAGACACATTAATGGCTTTGCTGCGATGCTTGAAGAGGAAGAAGCTGAAGATATTGCAAGTGAGAACGCTTCCAATTAATTAATGTTTTCAACTCAATTTTTGTAATTGAAGCTCAGCATTGATTACCTAGTCAAATTCAATTTTGTTTCTAATTATTTGACACAACGTTTTGAATGGGGCAGAAAACCCAAATGTAGTGTCTGTGTTCTTGAGCAAAAAGTATAAACTGCATACTACCCGGTCATGGGAATTTCTTGGATTGCACAGAAATAGTAAGAACTCTGCATGGCAAAAGGGAAGATTTGGTGAAAATACAATAATCGGTCATATTGACACAGGTAATTAAGCATTATAACTACTCCACTTTATATGCGCGTTATAATCCAATTATTATAGGTTAATTATTTTATATTCACTTTTTCAGGGAATATTTAGTATCTATGTCGATTTTGCCAATATATAGCTGCAAACGATGCCATGACTTGTTTTATTTGTGATTGAATTATTGAAAGAGAATGTTGATGGTGACATATTGTTATAGAACTCCACTAAACGACGTGAAAGTCTAGATTTGTATGTTTAAAATTAGTTGTTAGAATCAAGCTTGGATTTATATAAAAACTCATTTAATAAATAGGCCTCAGCCTTCAATTCAAAAGTTCGTCCTTAGAATTTCTCATGCTGGCCTAGTATAGTAACTTTTATTTTTATTTTATATTTTTTATACTATTCATAATAGTTATCTCTCTCTGCTCAACCCATTTCACCTCATTTTATTGATTAAACAGACTTTTTGAATGATTTTGTTGTATATTATGCTATTTGGATATACATTAAATTTATAAATTTTTGTGCTTACCAAAAAAAAAATTATAAATTTTTGTGAAATTATTAGTACTGTTGATCATATATTTTATTTAGATAAATTCTTGTTGTTTTAATTTTTTTTTAACAATCTTGAGTCGGCTGATTAACATCCCTAATCTCCACACATGCATGAATAGACCATATTTGAAATTTAATTATTAATAAGCGTATATCCATAATTAATAGTGTACAAAACTTCATGATGACATTCTTTTGACACCAATTTCGTCCTTGTAAACAATAGGTGTTTGGCCTGAATCCAAGAGCTTCAGTGACAAAGGATACGGCCCCGTCCCATCAAAATGGCGCGGGGGTAACGTCTGTCAAATTGACAAACAAAATGGCTCCAAGAAAAATCCTTGCAACAGGTTATTTTTATGGGTTGAGTGATATACAACTTCTGTACTTTTAATTTTAATGCTATACTTTATTAATAAAAAATAATTATAATATAAAAAATTATTTTTTTTCTAACTTCACATCAGTTGAAATGACTATGAAATTAGAAAAAAGAAATAACTTTTTATATTTTAACTATGTCTTATTGATAATACATAATATTAAACACTAACAGAACATAAGATTATGTCTTTTAAAAGGAGAAATGTTTTTTCCTATTTTTATTCAACACATTTTTAGTTTCTTTGAAGCTTTTCCAATATATAATAAATGAGTATAGATTATTTTTCACCATTATAAATTACACTTAATTTTGGTGTAAATTATATTTATATCTAATAGCTTTAATTTATTACATATGTGAATAGTTAGATGCAAACAAGTCAATGATGAAGATTCAATGTTGACTTCTTATTATTAATAATTAACTTATATTTACTAATAACAAAAAATCACAAGTTCTATGCAAAATTAAAAACTAAGCAATAAGAAAACCATATGCAGCAAAATTCCTTTCACTATCAATTTGTGCTCTATAATAAACAGGAAGCTAATTGGAGCAAGATTCTTCAACAAAGCTTATGAGGCAGTTAATGGCAAACTTATCGCAGCACTACATACAGCACGTGACTTAGTAGGACATGGTACACATACTCTATCAACCGCAGGTGGCAATTTTGTGCCTGGTGCAAGTGTCTTTGCTGTTGGAAATGGTACTGCAAAGGGTGGATCCCCAAGGGCAAGAGTTGCAACCTACAAAGTGTGCTGGTCTCTAACTGATGCTGCAGACTGCTATGGTGCGGATGTGTTATCTGCTATTGACCAAGCCATCAGTGATGGTGTTGATATCATCACACTCTCTGCTGGTGGCCAATATGTTGTGTCACCTGAAGATATATTCACAGATGAGGTTTCCATAGGGGCATTTCACGCACTTGCTAGAAATATACTATTAGTTGCCTCTGCAGGGAATGATGGACCAACACCTGGATCTGTTGTCAATGTGGCTCCATGGGTATTCACTGTTGCTGCTAGCACAATTGATAGGGAATTTAGCAGTACTTTAACTTTTGGTAACAACCAACAAATCACGGTATCACCCTTCTTCTTCTTCTTCTTTATTAGTATTAGTCATTTTTATTTATATTGAAATATAATTGATTTATTTTTTCTATTACGTGCAGGGTGCCAGTCTTTTTGTAAACATACCACCTAACCAGGCCTTTTCTCTTATCCTTGCCACTGATGCTAAGCTTGCCAATGCTTCAAATCGAGATGCGTAAGCACAAATCTCATAAGTTTTTCTTGAGAATACCTTGATTATTAAATGACTGTTTCTTACTCTCTCTTTTTTCAATATGTATATATTTTGTTGCAGTCAACTTTGTAGGGCTGGAACACTTGATCGTACAAAAGTAAGCGGCAAAATAGTGGCATGCCTTCGAGAAGGAAAAATAAAATCTGTTTCTGAGGGTCAGGAAGCTATGTCTGCGGGCGCACAGGGAATGATTTTGGGAAATCAAGAGCAAAATGGAAATACAAAACTCGCTGAACCTCATGTTCTGTCTACGGTCAACTATTATAAAAAATCTAAACCAAAAGAGCATAATCTTGGCAAACCTGGTCCACCACCGAAACATCAAACAGAGCTTACTCTTGACATAACTGCCACGTAATTATAAATCTATATATCCTTCTCATGTTACAATTGAAGATCTCAATTTATACACACACTATATTTATATTGCAGGGACTCTACAATAAACTCAAAAACTACAGTACGGATGTCCACTGCAAAAACTTACCTTGGTAGAAAGCCAGCTCCAGTTATGGCTTCATATTCATCTAGAGGACCCAATAAGATTCAGCCATCAATACTCAAAGTCTCTACACTTGGATTTTGTTATCTTCAACAGAACACTTAGTTTGTCTTCTTTTTTTCGATGACACTGCTTTTGTCTTTTTGTTTCAGCCTGATGTAACTGCACCTGGTGTGAACATACTTGCTGCCTATTCACTATACGCAAGTGCATCCAACTTACCATCAGACCCTCGCCAAGGATTTCCATTCAATGTACTCCAAGGAACTTCTATGTCTTGCCCTCACGTTGCTGGCATTGCTGGACTTCTCAAAACACTTCATCCTAATTGGAGTCCTGCAGCTATTAAATCAGCAATCATGACCACAGGTACTTATATTTATATCTATATATTAGAAAATATTTAACATTATGATATATAATATATGCATGTCTATTTTTTTGACCAAGATTTCTAACTTATTGAAATATATATATGGTTGCAGCAACAACAAAAGATAACACCAACAAGCCAATTAGGGATGCATTTGAGAAAACATTAGCAACTCCATTTGCTTATGGTTCAGGACATGTTCAACCCGACCTTGCTGTAGATCCTGGACTTGTTTATGATCTAGGCCTCACTGATTACTTGAACTTCTTATGTGCTTCTGGTTATGACCAACAACTCATTTCCTCACTTAATTTCAAAAGGACATTTATTTGTTCAGAAACTCACAGCGTAACAGACTTGAACTACCCTTCAATCACATTGCCAAATCTTGGGTTAAAAGCCGTAAACGTTATTCGTACAGTGACCAATGTTGGGACACCAAGCACTTATTTTGCAAATATTACTCGTACAGTGGCCGGATATAACATTGGTGTTGTACCGAATACCTTGAGTTTCAAGAAAATTGGTGAAAAGAAGACATTCCAGGTGATTGTGCAAGCAAGGAGTGTGACTAAGAGGGGAACTTATAAACATGGGGAATTGACATGGACAAATGGAAAGCACATAGTCAGAAGTCCTATTACAGTTAAGCGCAAATGAAAAATGTCCTTGGGAGTTAGTTGCTTCATACCAGTGTGGATGCATATGCAGTTATGTACGTTTGGCTATGGGGATGTCATGTTATCAGTTGATTGTGTTCCTTTTTTTTTTTTTTTTAATCCTTGTTTTAGTTGTTTGGCTAGCATAGTACAGTACGTTTTTGTAATAATTGGTGCATGAGAGTGCAACATCTGTATCATATCTTCTTTCTCTTCAAATGTGGGGGTAAGTGACAAGAAATGCAAAGCAAACTCCATGTTACATAAATAATTATGAAAAGTGTGAAAATAGTAGTAGTCAGTTAACTGGCAGGCAACTCTCTCTGGAAGAATATTTGAAAGTAATGCACTCTTTTCTTATAGTTATCAGAAAATCCCCATGATGTTTGTGGGGTTCAAGTTCCAATGCTTATCTTGACACTAGATGAACATATATTTGATTCCAATTATTTTATGATCTGGAACAGTTTGTCTTAACACAAGGCATCTGTTCCAACATTTGCTAATCGTCCAATTTCTTAACGCTAATTTATCCATTCCAATTGTCCACTTTTTTTTTCTGTGGGTTAACGAACAGAGTTTCAACAGACAGGTTGAATGGACGGAAAGAGAATGGATAAATTTTGCATACTTACTGTGAACACCATATTTGGTCCGGGAAATTCAAAATAAAGCAAAATCAGAAAAGGAAAGAAAAGAAAATTATTTTGTTTTGCTTCTCTCAAAAATGAAGAACGACAGAGACATCTTATAGAATCCGCTCACCTTGGTTCAACACTATGCTCTCTCTATGAAGAAAGATGAAGAGTGCAAAAATGTTCACCGAAGAGGGCCTGCCGTCTGATGAGCTCTGCTCACCTGAGCACAAAATGCAGCCATATTGTAAAGAAAAAGAAAAAGGGGATTTCAAAGAAAGAAAAGCACGTATGAACGTATGAAAGAAAAGAGCCTACAAAAAGGAACCGAGGATACACTTGAGAGGGGATCTTTGCACTATGAGGGGAACCAAAAACCCTACCATCATCAACATCCTTATCTTAAAAGGAACACACTTCGCAGCAACATAGGAGGAGAGTCATTTTTTGTTAAAAGTGAAGAAAAGAGCATCTACTAACTCGTTTATCCTAAGCCTCCATGGACCCCGCAATATCCCCCCACCGAAAATACCAAATATCCAATGTGAACAAACTCAAAGCTTCTTTCAACCCAAAACCACTCACAAACCCAAAATCACAAATCTTCAAACCCAAAATCCAACAAGACCCAACACAATGAAGATGCGGCTAGTTTAGTTGGGTCTGACCCGAAAATACAGTAAACCATTATATTGTTATATATAGTTTTTGGGAATTGCTTTTGTTATGTAACATAACCTAAAAGTAAATTTCCTACTCTCACAAAAGAAGGAGAGAGAATAGGAAAAAGAGAGAAAATTTAAAGTGGATCTCGTATAAATTTGTGTGTGTAGTAAAATGATTTTAGGTTATGTTACATAATAAAAACAATTCCCATAATTTTTCCTCTCTAAAAGATAAAAAAAGTCATCAGCGGCTAGTTTTTCTTTTTCTTCTTGTCTTGGTTCATTAATTAGATTAGATGTAGAAGATACTTTGGCATGATGTTGAATAATTAAAAAAAAAAATCAAAAAATCAAAAAAGAAGAAATGTCATGATTGTCTACAACTTCAGCTTTTTCTTTTTTGCTCCGGTAGATTAGGTAGCTTTTTTCTTGATATTAAAATAAATAAAAAAGGGAAAATTAATAAATAAAATAAAATAAATAAATGTAAAAAATAAATAAATAACCAAACTGTACATCATTCCTTATAATTCATATTCACGTAGATAGATGGTTATCTTTTTGTATTGGGTATGTATTTATCTATTTGTTAATAAAATATGATTAAATATTCTGAAAATTACAAAAAAAACAGTGATTGTACTATCGTCTCTGTTATTTTGATTACTAGTACTTATTTGTTTACATTATAACATATATTATATGCAACATTAAAAAATAAAAATATGTAAAATAATTCAGTTGAGCTTTATTTTAAATCCGCTTAATGATCTTCAACGTTGATGTATGATCATCCATCCTTAAGAGATAATTTAATCGTGACAATTTGTTGACTCTGTAATCTTTTGAATCATTTTAGTCGTGACAGCTTGGTGATTCAAAATTTATTGTAAAATTTACAATAAAAAAATAATAACGTCAAATCTATTTTTAAAAGAAGTAGCTCAGTCAAGACAGCTTGTTAATCGCATAATCTTTTGAATCATTTTAAACGTGACGACTTGGAGATTCAAAATTTATTGTAAACTTACAATAATAAAAATAAATCATCAAAGCCAAAATTTTCCAATGACTTTCTTTAAAAAAAATTTAAAGATTAATTTGATCAACATCCAAATATTTTCTACAGAACGACATAACTTTGAGTTCCCTATCGCACTGATGGACGTCGGAGCGAGATCCTTCCCGTCAAGCACAAAAATAAATTTTCAATTTATTTTTCTTTAATCAATTTTCTTTAATTCTTTGGGGTAAATAAATATTTAAAATTTTATCAATAATTAGCTCAACTAATATAAGGTAACCATTTTTTTAAACGAACGATATAGGATACTAACACCTTCTCTACTCGTAATTGACTCCCGAATCCTTTTTCTATTTCAAAAACCAGTTTTCTTTAACAATAGGATTCTTCCAATGTTTTCTCAAATAATCCTGGACGACGACTCCATTATTTTTAACATTCAATCTCTTTTGTCGTCAAGTCACAATCCGATTGTGTTTCGCATGACGAATCAAAATACTCATAGTTGCTAGCTTGGGCTTAGTAATAACTAATAAACAAGGCAGTGGTAATGGACCATTGGTCTATAACGAAGTGAGACTGTCAGGAATGTTTAAGTTCCCGAACAAATAATAAGTTGCAGAAGATAAGGGCTGATTCATTCCTATTCTCAAAAACTGTTTTTAAATTTTTAAAACTAAAAAATTAAAAAAACTGTTTGGAAAGGATTGTTTTGCAAAATAATTTTCAAAACAATGATTGTTTTTTAGTTTTAAAAACTAAAAAACCAAAACAACTTATGAGTGTTCTTCTATGCAGTTTTCTGATTTTTTAGTTTTCACGGTGGCATTTTCGTAAATAGCAACATTCATTAATGACAATTTCGTAAATTTGAAGACTCAAAACAATAAGTTTACGGTGGCATATTTGTAATTCTGAAATTTCATTAATGACATTTTTATAAATAATTATAATTTTCTTATAACTTAAGTTTAACTACACTCAAACAAGTTTTTTTGTTTTTCTACTCTCAAAATCAATTTTTAAAATTCATATTCAAAACAGTTTTTGAAAACAAAAAAACAAAAACACTTTCAAACATACTCTAAATTTGTCCAAATTATGGTTTGGCTTTTCCAATGAAAAACTAAATACACTGAGGAATACTTGTTACTTACTACTAATTTTATTATCCATTCCATTATTTTTAAAGTCTATTCCATCTTCATTTTATTTTATCTTTTTTTAAATATATATATATTTAAAAAAAGATAAAATAAAATAAAAAGAAAGCAAAATACATGAGTAGTTCAATGATTCAGTGAAGTTGTCCTAGTCTACTCATAGAAAACTGGTCAGCTAAAAGTGATTTTCCTATTACAAGCGCCTTAGATACTTGATCCATGGTTGGTCGAGAACTTGGACTTTCACTCAAGCAAGCAAATGTCAACCTTGCAATCAACACCACCTCACCATCAATTGGTTTCGTAGGTTCAGGAGGTCTTTGATCTAACACATCAATCAATAACAAATCATTAGCCATTGGTGCTGTAGATGGTGACATAAATAAAGAAACGAGATCACCCGAATGCTTTCCCATAATGATTTCCAAAGCAAGTACTTCAAAACTGAAAAAACATCATATTCTCATTAACTTCCATTGTCTGAGCAAGCTCTGCAAAATTAAGTACATAAATTTTGAAAAGTTATATCATGCAAAAAAGCAATGTGGGTTTCAATATTAAATCAAGTATAGTGGCTTGCATTTTTAGATGGATTCTGATATATGCACTTAACTAGTTTACACCGTTCTGGCATATCTCATTCAAAAGTGGTGTAAATTAAACAAGATAAGATCATTTCCATTTATAAAAACAAGGAAAAAAGGTTTGACTTGGAGCAGCATAACCAAAGGTGCCTGCAAATGTGGTCCAACTATTTGAAAAAATCCCTAGATAGTAAATTGTGCTCCACTTTTAGTTTAAAAGTAAAATGTAATTATTACTTTGAGAGTCACTTTTTTAAACCAATCCTTTATTTAAAAACTAATGGTTCGGCTTTCCTAGTGAAAAACCAAACACACGGCTGTTTGGTACCATGGAATATTTTTTGTTTTCTGGAAAAAGACCTTTGCAGCTTCAAGGTAGAAGGGTGTTTCAAATTGGATTTGAAAAATACGGGTTTCTGAAAATCGTAGTAACACATGAAAAGCTAATGTCTGATTTCTCTTGAATGTGTGGTATTCATCATTCCAATGAAGTGGGTATCATATTTACTAAATTATTACACAAAATTAACCACCCTAGCTTTCCGCCACTGGCTGAAAAGTTGAGATTACTTCCGTAAATTAAATATATATTCCCAGTAATAATTTACCATCAATCAAACATATACTCAGTAAAATTATCTAATATTCTCGATAATATTTACGCCAACCAAATAACGTTTTTATACCATTATCAGTAAACTCAATTTATTATCATATTCTTAGAAATCATGATTCTCAGACATAAAAAAATTTCTCTTCTACCAAACATTCCTTAGGGACAGGGTGAGACGTGGGCTGTCTAACTGCATTTTTTTTTTTTGCAACCAGTGGGTTTAAGTTCTTGATGTGATCCAAGTGGGTGTAAGTTTTATGCAATTATTATCCTTTTAGTTCAATTATTTATATCTACATATTAAATTAGACTTTATT